TGCTGCATCAGAACCCCCTTTTTGAAGTTTCTCTGAACCAGTCTGATCACTGCTGACAAGTACATGGACTGCCAGTGATTAGACAGACTTGCTGTCCCAGCTTATGCTACCTAGCATTGAAGGCGATATGCCTGCCCATACCGAGAGCACCAGTTGAAGGCAGCAGCGCAACAAAGATCAGAGTGAATACTTTAAATTTGAGTAGAATACAGAATCTGAATTCTCAACCAGGGTGCTGCAGCAGCCTGGGGTGCCACAACATCCTTTTAAAGGTATTAGATACACAAACCCCTATACATGAGTCACAAGATAAACCCAGAGCTTTTAAATAGGCACTGACAGTGTTAAAAATATTCTGACTTATTGCAGGTTCTCCGAGTGCACTGCAATAAAAAGAACCATTCTATTATTTTTCTGCACTCAGGCAAGGAGTGAAAACTAAGAGCTGACATTTTCCGAGGGATGCCTTAAAAAGGTTGACAATCAGCAATTTCGACAGGTTTCAAAAACAGTAGTGAAACCCAAAATTTCATGTAATAGCAAGTACACTCTTTGCTCTTAAGAATCATTTATTCTTCCTGCCATGTAAGTAACAAAAGTAGCTCTGGGAGCTGGGGAGATCATGGGAGAAAATCCTCAAAATTAAACTTACTGACTCCGAATGCAAATAGTAGGGCAGTGAATACAGGCTTTCCAAATGGCAAGCAAGCCAGCTTTAGACAAGGCACTTCCCAGCGTACGGCATGCTACATGGAATAAAGCTCTCAAGATCTACAATAGCAAGCTCAAGATGATTATCTTTACAATAAAACAAAATCCAATTTGTTTGGGAAATCTCAGGTTTTGCTACTAAAACCCTTAATGGCTGTGACAAACAGGAAGATCGTCGTAATTCTTTTGAAGCGTCTGTGTTCTATTTCATAGAAAGGCAAGGATTTCTTAGGGTGATATCTTTTATTGGAGCAACTGCATAGCTGGGATACGGTTAGACAAGCTTTCAAATGCGAGACATTCTTCTTCAAGTCATCAAGCAAAACCATCACCAACTTGCAGCACGCTGCAGACACTGAGTCACCAAATCCATAACCAAAGGCATCTATCTATCCGTCTATCCTTGGAAGTTTTAAGAGACAAACACTTGGCTGGAATGGTTTAAAGAAAGATGATCCTGCCTTAAATGGGCTAGACTAGATGACCTCTTGAAGTCCCCTCCTAGCCCTATTTTCCTAAAAAAATTCACAAAGGCAGTTACAGGTGGAGCTACTGTGTCTGC